GGCACTGCGCGACGTCCGCGCCGAGGGCGGCGACGAGTTCGTCGAGGCGGTGCTCTGGCGGCTCCAGGAGAGCCTGCGTGCCAGCCACAACTTCCGCGAGTACCGCGACTCGGTGGCGCGCAAGAGCGACTACGAGCGCCGCGCGGAGCGGCACCACCAGGACACGGCCAGCGACGACACGGACGAAGAAAGCAGCAGGAGCAGCGCCGGTCGCGTCCACTTCCAGAAAAAGGTGCTGGTGCGTCCGCTCGGCAAAGACCCGCTGCTCACCGAGTACCGGCGGCCTTACTCCAAGGTCTCTAAACAAAAGCTCTCCGCCGTCAAGGAGTACAACCCTGAGCCAGATGACCCGGATTACGAGGACTCGCTGAAGGACAAGACAGAGGCGGAGGCCGCGAAGGCGGCGGCTGCAGCGGCGGAGGCAGACCAGACGGATGCTGCTCCGACGACGCCGCCGACCGCGCCGGCACCAGCGCCCAAAACGCAACCGGGATGGAAGAAACTATTCGTAATTATCTGCTTTATTTCTGAGTGAGATTGGTTCTTCAAGCCGCAATCAGCAGCCACAGCGTTTAGTATTCATGTTGCTTTGGCGGTAACATTGCACCCGTAGAATGCATGCGGGGAAGGGTGATATCGTAACATATCAGCGTAGGCGGATCTAAATGTACGGATTGAGACCCTAAAATCTCGCGTTTCTCACGCTTTTTTGAGAGCATGCTGGATACAACAAAAACATTCCTTCAGCTAATGCAATCCGAAATTTATTCCAGAACATGCACCGACGAGCATTTGTCCGGATTGTTTCAGTGTTGTGTTGGTGGGGCGGAGGAACCAGCCGCCAAAGCTCCACCTCCTCCAAAGCCTGCAGCTGCACCACCAGCTCCACCAGGCTCCACCAGCTCCACCAGCTCCACCAGCAAGTTAGCAAAACAACCTGAAGTGAAACGAAAGAGACGCAAAGTCAAGAGCCTGCAGGTGAAGGACTTGGACCCGGACACCCCCAACGAAGAGCTCCGGACGCTCCACATGATGTTTGACGACCAGCTGGAGCTATGCAAGCTGACCGATCCGGACACGGATCCAAGTCTAGACGACCCGTCAGAGCTGTCGGACCCCGACTCTGAGCACGAGACGCCCTGTTTCGCGGACTTTCTCAGAGCATGCGGACTCCCGGATGCGAAGGTCGACGACTATATGAAATACTACAAGACTCACAAAGGTAAGGAATGATTGTGGTCCATAATGGTCTGGTCACAAAATATCTTAAACGCATTTAAAGTAAGAATTTATGTCTGGCTTTATTCCGTTTCGTTCTATAAACAGAGTTTCAACCATTTGTCGCACATATGCACCATGGGCCGTGCAACGATCACAACGGGCGGCTGTGTCTGGCCTTTGCCAGGCACGTCAAAGATTCTGAGCTCGTAATGGACTCGGTGCGGGTGAACAAGGGTAGTCACCCATCATATGTAAGTAAGGTTTTTCTTTAAACCTGAATGCACTTGGCACTCGCCGAAGTGCATGAACGTGTGGGCAGCACATTAGAGTGCAGGTTAACAGCTATCAGATCGTTTAAAACCCAAACCAGATGCATTACCATGCGGATAGTCTGCTCTACAGAGCGGTCAGAGCCTTCAAACTACCAAGTCCGTATCCAATAGAGCCCGCGTCCCCGTCCGGGAGCGCTGAGCCTTCTCGTCCCGCCAGGGCTGACCGACAGCGGCCACGGCGACTGGGCAGGCACGGGTCGAGGCTCGAGTGACCGGCCGTCCAGCGCCAGCAGCGGGGACGACCCCAGCTGGTGGGACAAACGCGCCCGCGAGCGCCGTCAGGACTACCGGCGCAAGCGGCGCGAGCACCGCGAGTACCAGCGCCAGATCGAGACCCAGCGCGACCTGGAGGTGGAGAGCCAGTTGCGCCGCGCGCTCGAGACGCAGCGCGAGCTGCTGCGTGAGCGCGAGGTGCAGCGCGAGATCGAGCGCACGCGCGAGTCCAGTAAAGAGCGCAAGGAGCTGCACCTGGAGGAGGAGGTGCTGGAGAAGGAGCTGCTTCGGCGGCTGTTGGCCGAGCTGCAGAACGAGCAGGTGCGTGCCAGGGATCGCGAGAAGCGTAGGGTGGTGGCCAGGGTTCTGGAGGAGGAGCTGATCACGAGGCTACGCCTGGAGCTGGCGAGGCTGCGGGAGAGGAGCGAGGAGAGGAAGGGAGCATATTCCACGCAGCTGCTCGAGGAGGAGGCCAACACCCGCGAGCTGAACAACCGCATCGAGGAGCTGCGCAGGCGGATGGAAGAGAACAAGATTCTGAGGGATTATGAAAGGGACGAGGAGCAGCAGAGACTCCAACTGCTGGAGGAGCTTCTCGTCAAGGAAAGGCGACGAATGGACATTCATGATGCCCAGCGCCTGAAAGAGCAGGACTTGGAGGAGGCGGACAGAGATCTCCTGATGGACATTGAGACTCAGTCCGGGGAGGATGAAGCGAAGAGTCAGAAAGCGTACGAGGAATGCGCAAGGGAGGTTGTGAGGAAAAGTGAGGAGCATAAGGCAATACGTTCAAAGCTCACTGGTGAAATTCGCAAAAGAGAGTTGGTCAAGCGCAAATTGATCTCACTTCAAGATATTGAAAAGACAAACCCACGGCTTTTCCAGTTGGCCAAAGTAATGGAACAGGTCAGCAACGAAAAGGGTTGCGTTGAGCTGGAGTACGATGAAACTGCGTCCTCTTCTGGAATTCTGAAAAAGGAAAGCATGTCTGAGGGTGAAGGGATAGCGGACCAAGAGCAGGGTACCAAACAAGACTCGAAAACCGACGGGGAAGCAACCGATGGTGAAGCGGGGGAGGGCGTGCCAGGCTTGTCAGAGGATGCGTCCGAGTCCCCTGGCGTCGAAGCGAACATCAACGAAGAGGGCGCCGCCACGGAAAAGGCTGACGATGGGGCTGAACAGTCTGCCGAGGCTGCCGGGGACGAAGCATCTTCCAAACCGGGTGCCCCTGACGGAGCCACCGACCAATCAAAAGACCCGGATGTGAAGGATTCCGAAAATGTAGAAAAGGCGTCTCCAGTGGACGCCTCACCCGATGGCGAGTCTTCTGCCCGTCCCGAGGGTTCGGGGGCCGCCGGCGAAGAGGCCGACACAGTCGGTGCGGACCTGGTCGACGCCAGTCCAGCGCCTGCTGCCGATGAGACGGCTCCGACAGCTCCGGGGCCGACGGAGGCGGAGACGACGGCTCCAGGATCGTCAGACGGCACCAACCAGGCCGAGGGTGCGCCCGAGGAGGCGGAGGGCCCGCGGCTCCAGGAGTCAGCAGTGCAGGTGGCTGCGTCGGCACCGGGGGCGGACGGCGGCTCGGCCGGAGCGCCGGCGGTGGAGCAGGGCGGTGGTGTGACGGAGGGCGGCTCGTCCGAAGCGGCGCCGGCGACGGAGCAGGGCGGCGGTTCAACGGAGGGCGGCTCGCCCGAAGCGCCAGTAACGGAGCAGGGCGGCGGTTCAACGGAGGGCAGCTCGCCCGAAGCGCCAGTGACGGAGCAGGGCGGCGATGCGACAGACGGTGGCCCATCTGAAGCGCCAGCGACGGAGCAGGACGGCGGTGCGACGGGCGAAGGCTCATCCGAAGCGCCAGCGACGGAACAGGACGGCGGTACGACAGAGGGGGGCTCGTCCGAAACACCGGCGACGGAACAGGACGGCGGAGCGACGGACGGCACGGCTGCGGTGGTAGCTGTCGTGGTTACGAACCAGGAGGGTCTGGAGGTGGAGCAGCCGGCAGCGGCAGCCAGCCGTAGCGACGAGGTCAGCATCAGCTCCATGTCAGGCGTCAATGATCTCTATGAAATTGAGCACGGCATGAAGTAAACGTCGGCCCGGCTCAGCGCAGACGGGTCTTTTTGGCCGGTGAATATCGATGACAAATCAGGACAGTCGATCCTGCAAGCAGATAAGTCAAGCAGACTTCTCGGCAACGTCGTTAACGTGTCGAATGGCGCCCGTACCTCGTCTGTGCCCGCCCTTAGCACTGTATGCGCACATGTGATTTGTAGGAGCTGTGTGACACAAGCTGTTGACAAGTATCCGCAGTTGGATTTCACGTTAGTGGTGTCCGCTCCCTGTCGTATATGATTAAAAATATCTCACTTTGTGCGGAATCGCGTTTTTCATCGCTCAACATTAGGACGAAGACGAGCTGTTCCTGTCTGAATCACCGAAGCTAGAGACCGTCCGTGTATTTTGCTTAGCTCTGGATCTAACAAAGTGGCAGAGAAATTTGACACTTTCCTTGCCACATCGGAGCCGTTTCGACCAGCTGCCGCCCCAAGATGCCACTTGCTTGAACCTTCATCCGCACTAATTTTCTGACATTCCGGTGCACACGCCTGGTCGGTTGCCAGACCACCGTTCTGTTGGGGTCGTTGGTTGGAGACGAGGTGTGCATCGAGTGCCGATTATTGTAATTGTTGGGCCGATACAGTTTTCAACAAACGCAAGCCCGCCAATTACGGCTCAGTCGCGAGTAATAACTGAAACAATATGCTGGGGTTGTCCCAGCAGTGAAAAAGCCGCGGGTTGATCGCGATCAAGAACAGCCCTGGCCCCACCACATCACCAAGCGTGCTTCCAGGTAACATGAGTGGATTCACAGCTCGGCACGGTAGCTACTACTCTTTTTCATCCACTATACGTGGTATCTTAAATTTAATCACCCGCGCTACACTTGTATGTCGAGGCCAGTCACGGACTTGACCTTCCCGATCGGGTGAGCGCTATCAATTAACCCAGCGGAATGCGTTCCACGCCAGTATTCGGGAGTCCGGCATAACGAGGCGCGTCGGCTACTTGGACCGTTTTGGTGTTCAAGGGTTGCAACGTGGATAACCGTGAAGCACAGGACTGATTCCAACACATACCATGCTGGTTCCTTACTACTCATCATTGCATATCACGAGAACGGGATGCCGCACTGGCGCGGTGTGATAAATGCCGGGTAGGAAAAGACAGGGCTGTCATTTTTCAATAGTATTTTGATTCTCTCCAACACCACGGCTCAGTTCAACGGTACAGCGCAAAGTGGTGCAGTTTGCCAGCCAATGGCAACTCATAGTTGGCACAAGCAAAACTGCTGGTTCGACGCTCAACACGAACGCGAAAACTGAAGAATGCTGCATTACAGAAACATAGACAACGCCATCCTTAAACGATAAACAAAAAGCAAGAAAAACATCATCAATGCTGTCTGTAAAATGTGACTAACCAGACAACTGCAGTATGTGCAGGTCAGAGGTTCACTAATCACCCTAACCCAACCATAGCTGCTAATACTAGCGAGTGGTGTTCTCGGGCGACCACATTCAAGAAAGGCAGCCGTGAGACGACTGCCATGCTCCAGAGAAAAGACTGCACGAAACGCAGACACAGAATACTTAAAACAAGCGTCGAATTTGGCACCACTGGAATGAATGCCGTCGAAGGCGCCGTTGGTTGCCGGTGCGCCACTTTCACCGCGGTACAGCAACAGCACAATAATATCAGACCGCGGCAAAAGCGGTAAGGCAATCGTATCACTACAGCCGCCGTCGGCCACTGGGTCCAGCAAAGGCTTGCCGATGCTGATAACATCTCCGTCAACACGGCATAACTCTCCTGAACGTAACAACAAATAAAGTGTCTCGCCATGGCAGCCTGGAGAACAGACTTGTGCCTTCCGTTGTCTGGCCAGCCCGCCAGCACGCCCAGTTTGCACAGTTTAGCGGCAGATCTCCGCCCCCTGTCCACACAGCTTAGCAGCGGATCTGCACCCACTGTCCGGACAGCTCAGCAGCAGATCTGCAACCGCCGTCCGTCCGGACAGCTTAGAAGCGGACTTGCACCCACTGTCCAGACAGCTAGGCAGCAGACCTGCACCCAACGTCCAGACAACTTAGTAATGGATCTGCACCCCTGTCCTGACGGCTCAGTAGCGGATCTGCACCCACTGCCCGGACAGCTCAGTAGCGGATCTGCACCCACTGTCCGGACAGCTCGTCCTTGCGGAAGTAGTGCGGCCGTCCGTCCGGGAAGATGGTGATGGCCGGGAACGGGTGCTCCTGGATGTGCTTCAGTGTGCTCCGCACCTGTGAGGCAGCCAGAGGTCACGCCACAGCACTCTCGCCCCCCCCCCCCCCCCCTCCACGTCCGCAGCGTCTCAGCGACAGACGCCCGGCATCCCCGGAGTGAGACCACACAACGAACGGGGGCTGACGCTGGGGAAGCTGCCCCGAACCCCACGGGCACCAGCTCGGCACCAGCGAGACAGCGCTAGGAGCGGTGTAACTCGGCGCATCGCTTCCTTCACTTCTAGAAGGTCTGAGTGACAGCGATTTCAGAGTTAAAGTTAAGCCTCAGGCCATACACCAATAAAATCGCTTAAACATACCCGAGGTATCAGCAGGAAACGCCGACGGACGCCGAACACAGACGGCGTTTTCTGATGCCACCAGCGCAGACGGTCACGTCTCACCTGCATGGCGAAGTGGGGCGGCTCGACCTCGGGGCTGGTGGAGAGGTGCTGCAGCAGGAACTCGTCGCTCTGCTGCAGCCACAGGTCCACACCCCGCAGCGGCTCGTAGTTGAACGGTCCGATCCGCAGCAGGCCTTGCTGACAGTCGTAGATGTCCAGTACCTGGCCGCGCGGCCGACGGAGCGGGTTAGGTCACGACGGGCAGGTCTGGTGCGGCTCAAGCGGGTACGGGTCAGCCACGGCCCGCACAGGGGCAGGTCAACAGTGGCCGTCACAGGCCCTGGCGGAGCACAGGCCAGTCGAACACAAGACGCGAAATGGGAGGCGCAAATCCTGCCAGTCTACATGATCTTACAAAGGAAACGTGCTCTAAATATGCCGCAAAACGCGGCATAAGAAACATCTTCGAAGCGACAAAAAGCACCGGCAGCGAAACACGGCTAAGCCACACAAAAGCAAGCTCAGCCTATAGAGGCAGCCGCAGGCGGCTTCATTCACAGTCGCGGTCGCAGGCTGCCACCCTGCCCACCTGGTGTCCGCCGGTGTAGAAGCGGGCTGAGCGGAGGCCCAGCTCGGGTCCCTTGTCCGGGAAGGTGGCCGGGAACAGCTCGCCCGTCTCCGTGTTCACGCCCACGCCGTACACCACCGGCCAGTTCATGCCAGCCCGGATGATGGTGTTGAGGTCGCCCAGACAGCAGGTCACCAGGTCCACCTCGTACGGCGACTTCTGGAACGAGTCTGCGCCAGGCGGCGAGGCGTCAGCGAGTCCTGGCCACCGGCCTGCCACACGGCCTCGTACACAGCGGCACAGGCAGCGGGTCCCAGCCACCGGCCTACCACACGGCCTCATACGCAGCGGCACAGGGACTTCACTTCGTCCCTGGTCACGTGGACCAAAATGATATGCAACAGACCAGCCGTACGCCAATAGAGCTATATATCTCGTTTGGATGGGAGAGCGTTATCCCATCTCCTCTCACCAAAGTTTTCTCCAAATATCAAGCACACATCACCCCTTCCCCTCCTCTCAGTCACCCAAGACACTAAAAGCACACAAAACAGACACTGCAAGGGAAACTACCTGTTTTCCCGAGCTGGATAAGGTCACATGTAAGCCTGGCTCGACAGGGCATTCTGGAAAAGCTAAATGACTGGGCCTTGATCCCGTTGCACAGCAGGTTGCGGGGAGACAGGATCCCACCAGCTCTAGGTGCCGGTAGACTGCGCACAACAGCACAGCGCCGTCAACGGCGGTCCCCAATGCACCGCCGGCAGCAGTGCATTGTTGTATTGTCTCCAGCCCCGGTGTATCACACACTGCAGTACAATGCTACCGGCCCCGTTCCCAGGCACACCAGACGTCCGGCACTCGCCGAGGCCGGCGACTGTCTCATACACTGCGAGCCCACACAGCGTACCAGGCCGGGGACGAGACCGGACCGTGCGGCGCCACGCGTCCAGCGCATCAGCCACGCGTGAGGACCCTCCAACGGCGCCACTCACTGAGCAGGGAGAGCGTGAGCTCCTCGGAGACGCCGCGCGTGTCGCGGAAGCCGCCGGCCAGGTGCAGCTGCACCCGGCCGGCCGGGTAGCCCATGGACAGCTCCGATATGCGGTGCAGGATCGTCTGGATTGACTCCTCGTGGCCGCAGCCGTCCAGGTGTGTCAGCGCCGTGGCGCCCGACGCTGCGGAGGACGGCACGACGTCAGCGGCGCCCGACGGAGCGCCGGGCCGGCGGCACATGGGGGCGGCGGTCACAGAACTACGGGTCAGGGAGTGGAGTGAGACTGTCCCGCACGTGAGCCCACCTTCAGAGGGCACTGCCATCAGAGTGACACGCGAATGACTCCAACCAGCGTGGCCATGACAATGGCCTCACGCCGGGAGGGTAGCTGAAAGTTTCGAAGTGACAGCCATTCGGCATCGGCCAGTTGACGTCGCTATGATCCCGACCGCTGCGTCAAACGTCACGCGACGCCAACCGATGTGTCGCGGGTAAACGCCGACTCCCGTGTCAAATGACACCCACGTGACACTGACCGGAGAATCACGAACATCCACGTGACACCGACCGGAGCATCAACACCCACGCGACACAGACCGACGTGTCACGAACCAATGGCGCGCGACGCCCACTGACGCACCGCACGTGGCCCGCCAGTGGCCCTGACACCGAGGCACCACCCGGCAGCCCCCCGCCACTGACCGGTGTGTCGCAGGACGGCGATGTGGCACGTAGTGCAGTCATCCGTGCCCAGGATGGAGACGTTCTTGTCATGCGGCACGGTGACGGCCAGCTCGCGCTGGTTGACGTACAGCAGGCCCACAGGACCGATGCACTTGGCCGGAATGCTGCAGAACTGGCGCGCACCGTCCTTCAGGTGCGGGTAGTGCTGGTAGAGCGTGCGCGAGTCCTGCGGTATGTCGTCGATCGGGATGCCGCTGATGCACAGCACCATCCTGAAATGGCAGAGCACGACGGTCAGCGGCGGCGACGGTCAGCGGCGGCGACGGTCGGGGCGGCGACGGTCAGCGGCGGCGACGCTCAGCGGCGGCGACCGTCGGGGGCGGCGACGGTCAGCGGCGGCGACGACCACGGGCGGCGACGGTCAGGGGTGCCGCGCACGGGCGGCGGGACCGGAGCGTGCGCAGGAGCACTGCAGTCGCAGCCGGCGACAGGCACGCGACTGGTGGTAAACATAAGTTTCGGTATCCTTTTTTTTTGGGGGGGGGGGGGCTGAACGCGTGAGGTGAACGCCAATATAAGAATGGGCTGCCGTTTGTATCGCAGTGTTCTGTGTGAAGCAGTAACGTGTGTCCCCAGCTGAGCCAACATTTCGACGGTAAAAGACAGTTGGACCAACAACGACTACAACGCCGTCACAACGAACAGCTCCGTTTGCCTCGCTATCAACCAGCTGTGAGACACCGAGAGACACTTTACATAGGGGTCCTATATCCAAACACAACGATAAAATGCATCATCACGACAAGCCTGCCACCACACCGCCCATGGCTTTGGTTACTCTACAAACAGGGTCAACCGGGGTTAGTTCACAGAAGTCTGGCGATTTTAAGACTCATTATCAAGGGTACACAATGCACAGCCGGATCCATTTTCGCACTAATCGCTCTCAATTATCACGGATTTCAGGTTTCACGACGCGTTGGCACTGCTCAAACCTTGACCTCATTGCTGAAATGCCGTCGAACAACTGTGTCATCACCGATAAGGCAGGCAGAAGTATGGGACCTTCCTCGCACAGGAAGAGCAATATCGCAGAAGCCGTGGCCAATCTCTCGCGCGCTGCTCCGAACACACGAACACCTTGAGTGCCAAACCAGATCACGTGGTGCCTGCGGGCGGCGCCTGAACCACCCAGCCTGTCATGCCGGGCGAGGCAGGAAGACCCCCAAAGCATCCCGTCCAGAAGAGACTCCTCAGTGTCACGCGGAGAGAGGCCTGGCTGGAACTACAATATCGCCAGGACAGCGCCCATCTCTGCCGAGTCACATTCGAATCTTTTGCTATCCAGCCAGCGGAATCTCAACCATTCGCCACAGAACGGACCTCCGACGGCACGCGTGCGGCGTCACTGGCCTCCGGTCCTGTCCAGTGTCCACATGCGAGTGCGAGATCGCGTCACTTTTTACGAGTACCACCGCTGGGACCCGGCACGGGCTGCGCGCTGCCGCCCCAGGAGGGCGGAGGCATGTCGCGGGATTTGCCGCCTAACAACGCGGATATCTGGCATATCAGATGTCCGGCCGGTTGTCACACCACTGGGGCAGAAAGTAGTTTCAGCAACCCAAGGGCGGCTGGGTTACTCGGCTGCCGCCCTAGATCGGATTGGCGTGAGACGGCGGATCATGTCAGACGTGTAGGCTGGCCTGGGCAGCGAGTGGGCGATGCCCTCGCTGCCGTGGTCCGACGCGTGTATGATTTACTGCATTTCCAAAGACGCCTTGTAGCATGCGGCGTCTTCATACCGTTCGCAGGGAGAAAATATATGCAGTTGTCTTTTATTACACACGTACATCTATTGGCTGATTAATTGAAGGAGCTTCGCCCAAGGAGCGTCCGCTCGGGGGACAAGTACGCTACTCTGATGTTCCCTACCATCGTTCATTCAAATCTACCTTTGACATGCATTCACAAGTGGAAGGCCGTTTCTTAAACTGCTCCACTCCACCAGATTGGAGACAGCCCCAACAAGTCTCAGCCCTGATTCAGAACAACCTAGCGTTTCGCGAAAAGCACAGTGTTGCAGAAATCGTTTTTCCCCGACACCACAGAACTAGCACATTGGAAATAATGCAATGTTTAAAAACCGGCGGCACCGACACATTACGGTTTGGTTCCGTGACAGCTTCGAGGTCAGCTCCAGCTAAACGGGCCCGCCAAGTCTGCATCTGGGTCATGGGGGTCAGCGGGGCGCGGCCGAGGGTCGCCACACATTACACACTGTCGGCAGCACACGTCGGCCCGCAATTAATTGGACGGAACGACGACAAACAGCGGCGGGGCGGAGGCGGCCTTCCCGCGACGCTCTTGGCAGACATCCCACAGCAGTCGGCCGAGACCGCCGGCCGCGCCAGCGGCTGACGACTGTGGAGAGCACCACTGTTCTGCCGCGTCCGTTGGCAGCGCCAGCGGCTAACGCCAGTGGAGAGCGACACTGCTCCACCGCGTCTGCCGGCCGCGCCAGCGGCTGACTACCATGGAGAGCGCCACTGCTCCGCCGCGACCGTAGGCCGCGCCAGCGGCTGACGATAGTGGAGAGCGCCACTGCTCCACCGCGACCGTAGGCCGCGCCAGAGGCTGACGATAGTGGAGAGCGCCACTGCTCCGCCGCGACCGTAGGCCGCGCCAGCGGCTGACGATAGTGAAGAGCGCCACTGCTCCGCCGCGACCGTAGGCCGCGCCAGCGGCTGACGATAGTGAAGAGCGCCACTGCTCCGCCGCGACCGTAGGCCGCGCCAGCGGCTGATGATAGTGGAGAGCGCCACTGCTCCGCCGCGACCGTAGGCCGCGCCAGCGGCTGACGATAGTGGAGAGCGCCACTGCTCCTCCGCGTCAGTGGAGAGCACCACACACAGAGAACCGGGCCTGCTAGCTAAGAGCGCCACTGAACTGAGAAGCGTGGCGGCCTTTCATCGACCACCGCCGACCCCGGCCGCAGCACCCCCTCCGCTCCCGAGACATCAGCACGTTCAGCCGCCACTTGCTCACAGCTCCGTGCATCGCCGACCGCCGATCAAAGTTACGGGAGTGTTCATGTATCGACCATGTTCAGCCGCCGACCAAGGCCGCGGGATCGCTGGCGCCTTGGCCCGTCTCTAGCCACACCCTGTTCGGCGCTGACGTCAAGACACGTACATGTCCAGCCGCCGGCCTGAGCCACAGCATCATTCTCGCCCCGTCGCACTCTCGTCTAGCAATTGACCATTTCGAGCAAACGACGAGAGCTCAAGCACCGCCCCCGCCTCACTGTCGGCCGTTTCAAGCCATTTACTTGAGCCCGAGCACCGTTCCCATCTCGGCACCACTCTCGTCTAGCAGTCAGCCTTTTCAATCGACCCTGAGCCACAGCCGCCTGCTGAGCCTCGACATCTGTCCACCTCTGGCCGCCGGCTTGAGCAACGGCACCGCTCGCGTTTCGACACCGCTCTCGTCTCGTCAGTGGCCCATCTCCAGCCGGCGGCAGGATGGCGCCGGCCGCCGACAGCACGGCGGCAATCGCGGCGCAATCCATCTCCCCCAGCGGAGGGGGGGCCGGCACAAAAACGGCAGCAAAAAACGGCCGCGACCGCCCCTAAGTGGCCAGGCCAGCAGCGGTGACAGAGCGCAGGTCGGGTCACGGGCTGACCCGCACCCCGCTCGACGCGGCGCGACCCAGCCACCGCAGCCGAAGGCGCCGACTCGCACTGTCCGCGCAGCGCGCCCATCACACCCACGCTGGCACGGCCGAGATGGAGAACGGCCTAGCGAGGCTTGAAATAGGTTACTGAGGTCATGCGTCAGTCAAAACCGATCAAAACGCGGCGTAGGCTCAGAGACAGGCCGCTGCCAATGCAATATCGCACACAATTATACCAACATGCGTACCATATGTGTGCAATGTGTGCAACACCGCACACAATTATACCTACGGCGTTCAGTTTCTTCTTGAACCACCCTTATACTGTCTGCCTGTCACGTATGAGTGCGTCGTGGGTGTGCTATCCACCGCCACCCACAAGAACAGGCACTCGACAAGGCCATGCCGGCGTACCGCAGTCCACAACTGGTCTCACCAGACGGCAAAGCCCCGCACGGCTGGCACTAGGCCTCCAATCGGTGGGGCCATCAGGGATCGGTTCCATCTGCGGTGCGCGAGCTCTCCCGACTCGGCTCGGTAATTGGCTTAATCGTGACGCTGATTGGGCCGCACCGCCGCCCTGCAACTAGCAGGGCCGCGCAGCAGTCGGTCCGAAAAGACCGTTCGTTAATCGCATATAATCAGACGATTGCAGTCGCCCGCAGCAGCGGGCAATCTGATGCCGATGGCAACAGGGCGCTCCGATCTGTCGTGCTCCGCGTCGGGTGGGACCATCAGACTGGACATCGCCCGCCGGCGCCCCCAGCTCCCGCACGGTGGACCTGGACCGGGCGGCCGACTGGACACCGGGCGCGGCGCCCCGGCGCGTGGGACGACCGCCGGAGCCGTGGGTGTGTGTGTGTCGCGGACGCCGCTGGGAGCCGCCGCCCGGTCATCATCCGGGTAATTGGCCGGCCACGGCGACCGGTCACCGATTAGCTGTCCGTTTCTGCCAGCCCCTCGCCCGCCAGGTAGTGGCGGGTGGGCTGAACATCAGCGACAGCTGACACTGGCGACTAGTCATCGTCTGGGGATATCCAACTGGCGACTAGTCATCGTCTGGGGACATCCAACTGGCGACTAGTCATCGTCTGGGGATATCCAACTAGCGACCAGTGTGACGGCGGGGCGGTCTGCAAACAGCCCGGGCATCTGATCATACAGCAGACAACTGCACAAACACATACGCCCAGCCATTGACCAGTGCCATTTGCCCAGGTATATCCAGCCCTTCATCAGCAGGAACAAATAGCCACTTCACCACGCCGGCTCGAAAAACCCCCCACCAAGTCCGACCCCGGGCCCAGCGACGGGATCACAAACCGAGCCATACACCCAGTCGAGAGGGATCTCATCCGCAGCTGGCTGGCCGACCGACGAGCACGCCGCTGCCGTCGCCGGCCGCGCGGCGCTCCCACGCGCCCGTGACCGCGCGCGACGGCGGCGCCGTGGCCGGTGCCGCACGCCCTGGCCGGGGCGCACCTGTCGGCGTCGCCTGAGAGCGGGCCGGCACGCGCGGCCGTCGTCTCCCAGGCCGGGTCGGCGCGCTCCCATGGGGTCGGCCGGGTGACCGCCGCCGTCGGCCGCGGCCCGCGTAAAAA